CTCCCCACAAAACCATCCATGTTGTCTTCCCCACACAAATCCTCATGTCCCTCCACCCCTGCTCCCTTACTAGACTGTTTTTGAGATATGTCAGAATTTCATCATTATTCTTTGTAAAGATTTTAAAGATGTATTTATTTTATATATGTCAGTGTCTTGCCTGCATGGATGTCTGTGTACTACATGCATGTCTGGTGTCTGAAGAGGCCACAGATGTGGATTTGGTTTATTGCTTATATTACGTTAGTCAGATTCCCTAATTACATTGGAACTCACTCATCTATATGTAAGACGCCACAGGTCCCTGCCCCCAGTTGTCTCTAATTGGTAAATAAAGTTGCCGATGGCCAATGGCTGGGCAGGGAGACAGAGGCAGGACTTTAGATTTCCCAGGCAAGGGAACCCAGGGAAGAAGGAGGATTTAGAATTGCTTTGATGGGGAAGCAGAGAAATCAGGCTTGAGAGAATCAAGATCGTATAGTCATGTGAGAGCCAGGGACGAGCAGCCCCAAGCTCCCCTTCCGAAACCCCAATTGGGTCTAGGGTAGCAAAGATGGAATTTAGATTTTGGTAAGTGATATTTCAGGAGTATCAGAGGAGAGTCATTAGCAACGTGAAAGTTTGAGAGTGGCCCAGCCATTGAGAAGTTTAAGGCATGTTAAAAGAGAAGGCTGCAGTATGTATCTTTCACTCGAGAATCCAGAGCATTTTGGCAGGCAACTAGCAATGTGCCAACCGCTGGCGGGGTGGGGACATGTGTGTGTGATTTGAGTAGCATTAAGTAATTAATACAACACAGAGAAGGCTTCTGGTCCCCAGAAACTGGAGTTACTGAGGATCGTTAGTGACTGTGAGAGTGCTAGAAACCAAACCTGGGTTACTTTCAAAAGCAGTGAGTGTTCTTCGCGGCTGAGCCAGCTCTCCAGCCTCGGCTCCTCGCCACTCTTTTTAACACATAAGAGTAAAGAACTGTTTGAGGTAGCTGAAAGGGGATCACTTAGATTTAGTACCAACCCCCTTCCACTATGAGCAAGACCCACTGAAACAGGCCCCCTCGTGCCGCCCCATGACCTACCTACTGCCTCCACCTAGGCCCTACCTCTAACCATCTCCTGCTAAAGGCTGTTGAATTATGACTTCACCCATGGCTCGACCTATTGACAAAATCACAGCCTTCAGTATTTGATCACTTTTATTAGCTGCAAGCAAGCCCCTAATACATTAGCCTCTTGGGGAAAGCACTTTATAGCCAGCCTACCGCAGAGGCCTCACTGTATGAATCACAATTTTACATTTCTGATCAGATAATCTTCATGGTCCTGCCCACGTGTCTAACTGGTTCTGGAATGCTTTGTCTTTTCACGCTTGCGTGGCATGTATGTGTGAGTGTGCCCATGTGTGAGTGTGGGCATGTGACTTGTGAATCTGTTATCTAATTTTTGGTTCAAAGATAGATATGCTGGGCCTTTAATAACGTAGTAGTGAGATGTGTGGGCAGGGTAACATTTTATAGCTGTTATTGGGTCATTCATTGTCTTTTAGGGAGACTGTCTTCCCAGATTGTGACCTCTATAAGTATTTTACAACTTGGGCACTTTAAGAAGTGCAGAAATAGCAAGAGGGGATTGAAGTGGGGTGTTTGTAGTCTCTCAGGGGATTGAAGTGGGGTGTTTGTAGTCTGTCAGGTTCTAGGGAAACCTGGGCAGGTTAGACAGTGGTTAAGTAGTTTCTCCTCAGGAAGCTGAGACAGAAGTACCACTCTGAGTTGAAGACTAGCCTGAACTTTACAAGGAGACCCTGTCTTCAAAAAACAAAACAAAAGTTTCTTCTCAGGGAAGACCTTGTTAGGAAACAGAATGTTCTGGTGTGTTTCTAAATGGTTCCTTTCCTTTCTTGCCAGAATCAGCACAGATATTTCTTCTAATACTCACTGGGAGGTCCTGGTGGCCAAGCTCCAGAGAGTAACTCACAAAAGCGTGAGACCTGGTGTTACTGGATCCTCTGGAGGTTTTAACTCTTAAACTGGTCCACCTCCAGCCAAGCATCAACCAGCTAAATGTTCCTACCTTGGCTCCTGGGTATCTGCAAGTGTCTTGCAATTCGCTGTGTGTCTCTGATTTGTGGTAGTGATTTTCTTCTCTTCTATATGGATGGAGATTGTCACTTTTGTGATTCTGTGTAATGATGGAATGTTCTTTGCTTTGAATGTTCGATGACTCCTCGTTAGGTTTAAGGACTTGTAAATCCCTTCTGAGGTGTGATTCTAAGCACAAGCTAGCAGAGAGCAAGGACTCCAGAGCTCCTGTGTCCAGAGCTTCCTCGGTGTTTGTATTCATCAGCAAAAATGACCACTGGCCCTCCCAAGGCCTCCATCACCAATGTGGATCTAAGTGTGTGTTCACGCTCCTTGTGACCCTGTGACTCCCATGATGCTCTCCTCCACCAAGTACACATTTCTTCTTTTATTATGTGTGTGTGTGTCACACGGGCACACATAGAGTTAGAAGACCGCTATTGCTCTTGGCCTTATTCCCTTGAGACAAAGTCCCTCACTAACCCAGAAGCTCAGCGTTTTGACTAGACTGGCCAGCCAGTGAGCTCTTAGGACGTGCTTGTTCCTACTCCCCGGGCAAGGGTTACAGGCTTGTATAATCACATTCGGTTTTAAAACACATGGGTACTGGAGATTAGAAGTCAGGTCCTCATGTTTGCACAAGTGCTCTTACACACTGAGCATCAACCCCTGAGCCCATTTCTTTAACCTTTGCTTCCCTGCTCTCACCAACCTCAAGCCTTCTAGGCCAGCTAGGACCCTGAGCACTGTAGGAGGCTATAAAGATCCCCTGAAGCTGAAGGCAGAGAAGGGGGTGGCTGTCCTCAATCCTGCTTTCCTTGTGTGTCTCCTTCTAGAAAAGCCACCTCTGTGTCACTGTTCTCTGTGGGTCACACCCTAGCCACTGCCCCGATTCCTCCCTGTTTGTCCTCACACATCCTCTCCTCCATCTGTCTTCTTAGTTGCACTCACGCCAGGACATTGTGCTCATGTGTTCTGAGAGGCTTCTGGTGGTGATAGGGATGTTTCTGCAATCCAGCCTGAGCATTCCTGAGAAAGCCAATGGCCACAATGCTGGACATGACCTCTTCTGGCTCCCACCACTAAAGATGTCCTGACTCAGTCTGGCTGAATGTTCCATTGTCTACTCATTGGGATGTTTAGGTTGTCATAGCTGCTTTTGTTTCTGAACCTGTTTGGCCAGGTGATTACCTTACATGGTAAGGTCTTTAATGGCAGTGAGTGTGCATGTGTGTGTGTGTGTGTGTGCGCGTGTGTGAGAGAGGGCCGAGCGCCCCCCCCGGGCGCGAGAGAGAGAGAGAGAGAGCGTGCGCACAACATAGTTCTATGGAGTTCTCACTGTATAGATAGTGATTAGCCTACAACCATAAGCAATTAGATACCAACTAGATGCACCTGACAGTGAATTGCTATAGGAAATTATTCTAATTATGCATTTCTTGAACTTTCTTGTATTTATCCTTTGCATTTTGTGGAAAGTGAGTAGAACTGGGGTGGGGATAGGTACTTACTTTACATTTTCTTCAGCGATACAATTTCTAATTCTCACCTACCCAGTTCCTTAGAGGGAATGAGTTGAAATGCAGTTCTGAAAATAAGAATCATAGTTATAGAACCAAGTGAGTGCCCATGCTCACAGCTGAGCAAACGTGAGTGAGGTCACCTTGTACTTGGCACTGAGATCTTACAGGACTACTTGGGAGCCTTGTCATCCTACACCAGGAAGAACATTAGGGGCAGAGACTTGTTCCTCAGCCTAGGCACTCCCAGGCCCTCATGATGAAGGCACATTGCTTTCTGCCAGGCCCTCCCTCCTGCCCGCCCTCCCGCCTTCCTGCCCTCCCTCCCGCCTTCCTGCCCTCCCTCCTAACCTTCTGCTCTCTTTCCCCTCTCTCTCTTTCCTCTCTTTCCCTCATTCTCTTTTATCTTTTTTCCTTCTGTCTCTCCTCTCTTTCATGTGTGTGGTCTTATGTATATGTGTGGTGTATGCTACATGTGCACACATGTGCAGAAACCAGAGAGGAGTAAGATGTCTTCTTCTATTGCTTTCTGAGGCAGACTCTTTCACTGAGCCTGAAGCTGGCTATCTGGGCTAGGCTGGCTTGTCTCTGGCCTCCAAGGTTGGGGTTATAGACATGCTCAGCCATGCCTGGCTGTTGCAGGGGTGCTGGGGATTTGAACTTGAGTCCTCTTGTGTTTCCCGCAAACACCTAAGCCATTCTCCAGTCCCATGCTTTTCTTTTAGACAGTTATATGATTTCGAGTTCTTTTTTCGTTATTCTTTTTTTTTTTTTTCCAAAAAATATCCAAGTAGAAAAATAAGCTATTTGTAGCCTTGTGTTCGTTCTCATTGCCCTTAAAAGACATTATCAGGAAATGTCACCCTGATAATTTCCTTGGCTGTATTTAAAAAGAATTGAGTTAGGGACAGAGACATAGGCTGGAATCCTGGCCTAACCCAGGGCCTCATTTTGTGACTCTCAGACTCTGGAAAACGTCAGACTCTGTGGCTTCCCTGTTCAAAATTAAGAATTCTATGATAGGAATCACAATGACGGTTGTGACCCTGGGCGACCTGGAAGAAAAACAGGAGGGGGAAGTGAGTTTAAAGGGTTTGCCCCAGGCCACATAGCCCAGCCTCAAAAAGAATCCCTGGCTGGCTGGCTGTGGGCCTAGCAGGGAGGAAGTTAAATGTGCCAGCTCCAACCAAGGGTTCTTGCAAGCTACTGAGCAGACTCCCAGAAGGAGCCTTTTCCCTTGTGCTTGGTGAATCCAGTTTCTTCCTGGTTCTGTCTAGGAATAATGGCTTTAATATGAAGATCTATCTGGACTGCAGACAAGCCTGTTCCGGGGCTGGAATTTGATGGAAGTCCAGCACAGCTAGCCTCCTGTGTGTGTATATTTCTGTGGCTGTGATCATCGAAGCAAGAAGGAAGAACACCTTGGTAGACAGAGAATCCTGTTTGAACTTCCGGGAATAATTCGCGGTAAGGGCTGGGGAGGTGGGTAGGTGTGGCAGTGGCATGCGAGGTGGTGGGGGTGGGAGGAGACTTGGAAGGGGGGACTGGGGGAGGACGGGGCAGGGCACGGGAAGGTAGAGATGCGCAGAGACCAAACCCAGGTTAAGGAAATGAAGGGGCTGGGAGAAAAGTGGGCTCTCTGTTCCATTTAACCTTTATTTTAGAAAGATGTTTGTGTGGCTGTGTCAGTCCCGGTCCCCACGACTTCCACCCGGCTTCCTGGTGTTCCGACTCTTCCCTTCCATGTGTTTGAGGTCCCAGATGGCTTTGCCTTTTATGTATTTTCCCTCTTATCAGACCCTACCCCCCACCCCTTGCCCCGTTGGTTCCTGCAGTTTCTAGAACAAGCTTTCGCCACAGTACGCTCCATGAGACTTGAGTCAAAAGCTTTAAATGCTTTACAAGAACCTTTCTTCCACTCTCTCTCAAAAGAAGCCTTTTCCCCCTGATTTTTATCGTTCCTTTGAGCTAAGTGCTCACTTCTTTCTCCCTGTTCCCACTTACACAGAGTCGGTCTGTGTGTGACAGTTTTATTGAGATATAAATCCAGATACTGTGCAACTCACCCTTTTAAAGTGTACAATTCAATGGGTTTTACCATCTTCCCTAGGTTTCGCAGCCGTCACACCAAGTTTGAGCGTTTTTACATCCTCCCTGAATGTCCTTGCACCCATTAGCAGCCATCTCCATCCCTTTCCAACTCCAGGCAACTGCCAATGTAGTTCCCCTGTGTGTACCAGTTCTACGGATATGTTTTGAGTCAACGGAGTCAGAAGCCATGGAGTCTTTGCACCAGGCCTCTTTTATTCAGGCTACCATTTTTACCATTCCTCGATTTGGTAGCAACCTTTGATGAAAAAAAAAATGTTTAAATCACGTTGATCAGCACAATGGTAGCACAAGCCTTTAATCCTAGCACTCAGGAGGCAGAGGCAGGCAGATCTTTGTGAGTTTGAGGCCAGCCTGGTTTAAAGAATGAGTTCTAGGACAGCCAGGGCTATATAGAGAGACCCCGTTTTGAAAAACAAACAAACAAACAAACAAACAAACATCATATAGAAGATCTACAGACACACCTTGGAAAGAAGCATTCAGGAAGAGTCCAGCCTAGATAATTTTTTTCCTTGAAAATCTCAGAGCTCCCAAAACCCTCCCTCTTCCTGCCTCTTTCTACGGAAAGAACAGGCTAGCCCTGCTTGGACACTGTCTGTGCCTGTTAGGTTGTTTCTATGGTTGACTATTTCAGTACTATTCTTGATGGAGAAGGGAAGACAGAGAAAATGATTTCGTTATTGCAATTTGAATGAGTCCAAATGAAAAATCAAGAGGCAGGCACAAGAGTGAATTGGCTTTTTCAAGTAGAAAAGATGTTATCAAGTCAGAAGATGAGAAAAGGCCCGAGACATTGATAGCACAGGGTTTGAGGCTAATTGACATTGAAGTCAGATGCCCTAACAAGATTAGTGAAAGAGCCGACACATGCAGAAGCTGGGAGTCAGCTTCGTGGGGTTGGCATGATGAACGAATCAAAGGAATTTTGGATTGCCTTCATTATCCTGACAGCAGCCAGAAACCTGTGGAATACCTAAGGTACAGTGCTCTAACCCAGATTACCAGGTTGAACGTCAAGGATTATATGACCCCTGGCAATAATACAAATCATGAGCCAAGAACTGAATATATGAACAGAGTGGGAAAATGTGCCCAGTGCAAAATTAGCTCTAGTAATATATTAATAGTTACAAAACCATTAAAGTTAAATATGAATTGTGTGATTAATGTAAGCCATTAACACAGAACCAAAGAGAAAGGGCACTTTAAAGCTCTGGGGTGGCTGACATTAGGTCAGGCTGTGCTGAGGTAGTCTGGAAAGATGGAAGAAAAGACTGTTCAAGCAGGCTGGATTCTGCTGTGAATTCTGAGCTCCCCAGACACAATTGTTCACACCAGACAGCTCTCATCTGTTCCAGCCTCTGTGTGTTGAGAAGTGGTATTAGCTGTACCCCAGGGGGTTTATTAGATCCATGCCCACCACTGTTTCATTACTTTCTTTGTAACTCCTGAGATAGGAACACTCCTTCAGTATGGTTGTCTATGAATAGATGAAGCAGTTAACCAGAATGTTCTACTTAGAGTTAATCTATTTGATCAAATATTTGACTGTCCCAGGGGGACTGAGCTGGGTCAAAGTGATGACTAGAATTGTCATGGACCTGCTCTTGGGAACAGACATTGTGTGTGTTTATTTATAATTGAGGAAGTGTCTAAGACACCTTCAAAGGTGTTTGGGAGTCTTCATTTCTTTCCTCTTTGCTGTGAAAAAGAAAAGACAAAGCTGCCACAAGCAACCTAAGGAAGGATTTATTTTGAGGATCATAGTTCATCATGGGGTTATGGACTCACGGCAAAGCAGAGCAGCTCTTTCCTGTGACTGGGAGTATGAGGCAGGAGATTGTCAAGGTGAGGGTAGACTGGACAGAGAGGAAACAGACTGGACCCAGGGGAGGTGTAACCTTCCAAGTCCTACTTCTGGCAACTTGTATCTGACAGCTAAGGCCCACCTCCTGATGACTCGAGGGCCTTTAAAATACTACCACAAGCCGAGGACCATGTGTTGAAAACACAAGTCTTCTGTGGGCTAACCTAATACCCTGTAGTGACTGGCAATTGATGAATGAGACTGTCCTTGGTTATATATATATATTTTAAATGGTCTTCTTTAAAAAATGAATACTCAGTCTTCAGCCACTTTACCATTTTTTTCTGGATCTTCCTGGAAGGTCTCATCATAAGATAAATCCACATTCTGTAATCAAATTGAGATTGTGTGACAGCTATTTCAAGGAGTTTTTCTTGTTTTTATTCTGGCAAAATAGACATAATGTAAAATTGTAACCATTTTAAGTTTACAGCTCGGTGTCAGCAGGAATATAAATGTTATTGGGCAGCCATTGCCACCACCTATCTTCAGAACACTTTCCTTTCCTCAAACGGAAATGGTATGCCCACCAAACTAAACCCTGTTTTCTCCAGCTCCTCTCCCTCATCCCGGATGACTACATTCTTGTGTATATACTGATGCCTTTATTCCCATGTAAGCAGGATCGTATTCTCTTTTTCTTTTGTGTCTAGCTTTTTAGACTTAATATCTTTTTTGTTGTTTTTGAGACAAAGTCTTGCTTTATAGCCTAGGCTGACCTCAAACTGGCAGCGGCCTTCCTGGCTCTGCCCCCTCAGTTACGGATGTGCACCTCCATCCCTGGATTACTTACCAGAGTATCTTCAAGGCTAATCCAGGTTGTAGCATGTGTTAGAAGTTGTGTTTGCCAGCCAAACATAAGGCGGAGCTTGGGGAATCCTGCCGCAGAGCAGGAGAAAGGGATTGTAGGAGCCAGAGGGATCAAAGACATCACAAGAAAACCTAAAAAGTCAACTAACTTGGGTCCATAGGGGCTCACAGAGACTTAACTGCCAACCAGGGAATCTGCCACTTTCCTGGAATCTCATATGGCTGGTTGGCTTTATTTCCTGTCGCTACTGTGTCCCATCCTCTTTCCCCCCACACCCTACCTCTATCATGGTGATTCTCTTTCCTCTCTGCATCCTAGCCCACACAACTCTAGGGGTCCCGCCTCATGCCCAGCCATTGGCTGTTGGCATCTTTATTGACTGATCTAAAACCAATTATGGACAAGGAACTTTAGCCTTTAGACACAGTTTTCTGATTGAATCATGTTTCTTCTAGTCTCAGTAGAAGATGTGCCTAGAATTACTGCAGCTTGAAATGCCATGGCTGGTTGCTATCCATGAGAGGCTTCCCCTTTTCTGAAGAGAGAGGATTAATTAATTAATTAATTAATTAATTAAAATAGAATAAATGGAAAAAAGGAAATTGTGTTTGTATTTTTTAGTAATATTCTTTATTTTTTGAAAATTTCATATACAGACGGTATATCTTGATCACATCCGTCTCTTACCCTATCCCACCCCCAGGCCCCCACACACTTCAACATCTTCTGGACCTTTCAACACATCTCCTTCCCAACTTCATACTTTGTTTGTTTATTTAATTTTTACATGTATTCACATGGGTTTGAGACTTACCACTGGGGCAAGGGCAACCTACCAGTAACCACACCTCCTAAAGGGATTTTCTTTTCCTTGTAGCCACCAACTGCCACGGTTCCTTAGGCAGGGTTGGAGCCTTGGGATCTCTTCCTCCTTTCATTTTCTAAGGGAATGTGTGTGGAATTTTCACTGGCTTTATCTTGTTCAGGTCTTGTGCAGTAGTCACAGTTGTTTTGAGTTCGTGTATGTGGCAGCCGTGTCACGTCCACAGACAGCATTTCTCAGCACTCTTCCATCCTCTGACTCCTACACTCTCTCCGCCTCCTCTTCCGTGATGTTCCCTGAGCCTTGTGGGGAGCGAGCATTAATATGGATGTCCTATCTATGGATGAACACTCAGAATCGCTATTTTTACCACTTTGAACAATTATGAGTTTCTCTAGTCACCACTGCCCACTGCAAAAGGAAGTGGCTCTGACCGCGTCTGACAGGAACACAAATCTGGTGTTTGAGGCCTTGAGTTTCGGGCTCCCAGACTGAGGTTTTCACGGCTGTGTGGACTCTGTTTGCCTTTTTAATAAGTACTTATATGGTCCTTTCCTCACTCCATTCCTATGGTTTCTTGCAGGAAGCTGTACGGTGTATTCAACATCCGGCATAACTTAGTGAAGAGACTATTTGCAAAGAAGGAAGGAAGGCATTAGAATGAGAGAGGAGAAGCAAGTGGGTTGCAGCACCCTTGGTTGGTCTTTGGTTGACAATGTGTGGTAAACCACAAGCAGGACTTAGGTTGGAACCCGGATGTCATGTTAGATGACGTCATCACGTCTACGTTGGGCTTCTCAAGTACCCTGCTGATATTGGTTATGGTTTGGGCTGTGAGTGGAGGAGATCTTTGT